CCGTCGTTTAACGGTCAGACAGGTGGCTGAAGAGCTTAATTTGGGCAAAACCGTGGTCCACGAAATTCTAAGAAACGAACTTCAAATGAAAAAAATTTGCGCCAAGATCGTTCCGTGAGTTTTTGAGTAAAAATTCCATTACGGTGACCGAACACCCCCCCTATTCGCCGGATTTGGCCCCGTGTGACTTCTTCTTGTTCCCTAAAACCAAATTGGTACTTCGGGGGCGGCATTTGGGGGACATAAATGAGATAAAAAAAGCTACGACGGGGCAGCTGAGAAACCTACAACCAGAGGACTTTCAAGGAGCCTTCTCACAGTGGAAACGGCGTTGGCACAAGTGCATTATGTCACAGGGGGAGTACTTTGAAGGGGATAAAATTGATTTACCTGAATAATTGTAAAATAAAATTTTTAAAAAACTTTTATACGTACTTTCCGGACAAACCTCGTAGTAATTACAGTACATAGATATTGCTACATGTTATTCACCCCTATTCGCTGATAATGTAGCTTTTTATAGGTCAAATAATATTAATTTTGTTTTTAACAAACAAGAAAATATTTCCTCTTATAATTATAATATTAGATCAGATAAATCACAAAGTAATAATATAAACTTCCTTTAAACCAGGGGTCCTCAAACTTATTTTGTCTACTGCCCACTTTGAGAATAATTTTTTTTTTAGCGCCCCCTTTTTTTTCACCTACTTAAAAACGACTATTACTTCAAGATCAACAAATCACCTCCCAAGCTTCTACACAAGGTCCTCATTTTTTTTCTAGGTCTTTAACCGCCCCCCTTTAGGCCTGTAGCGCCCACCAGGAGGCGTTATCACCCACTTTGGGAAATGCTGAACTATCGCCATTTATTTTACACTATAACCAACGACTATCTTCGTGAGAAATTTTAATACTTATTCCTTATTCTCGTAGTGTCAGGTTAATCTTAACGCGTGCAACATTTTATTATCACAATTCATGTCACGTTCTTATCAGTCATTGACGTTATTAATATTGGTTCAAAGTTCTAAACTGTAATTGGAATTTGGCCATCATTTTGAATGCGGCTTTCGTTAGTTTACCTGAGTTGTATATTTTGTAATAAAGCCAAAAAAAAAAAATACGAGCACACGCGATTTTTTTTAATGGATGATAATGGAATGGTTACCCCACCCCGCCTGTGCTATCGGTATACACTAGCGGGGTACCAGTGATGGATGATAAATGAGGGTGAAGCAGGTCAGTTAGCCCATCGTGACGAATTCAACAAGAATTGTTCACGATGGTTTCCAGGGGGAACCACGTGGAAATCGACCTAATTGCTAGCTGTCAAACTCCATTACTAACAATCCCTTTCCCCCCAGCACACGCGATTTAGGATATTGGACTGTAGTACTGTACCACTTTTATCTAAATTATTATAAAGGCAAAAGATTCGAATTTCTGTTTGTCATTACAAACAAAAAATAAAAAATAAATCGTAATCTCAAAAACAACTTCAATTCACTGACTTAAATATGTAAGACGTTTCCCACAAAAAATAGACTTGAATTGCGACAAAAACAGTTTTATTTTGATCTAAAACTACTGAATTTCGATAAAAAATTCTATGGGACCAATCTATTAGTAAGTACATGTTTTCAGATAAGTGAATAATTTTCCAAATCTGTTTAGAACTGACGGAGTTATGAAGTAACAATCATAAAAAATATAACCGAATTGTGCCTCCTTCTTTTTGAAGTCGGGTAATATACCCTCACCAATAGAAAGCTACATTGTCAACAAAGCTGGTACGTGTAACTAGTAAGCCTATATAACGAATAAACATAATTAAATTTATATTAAATACTATTTAAAATTATGAATTGAATCTAGTTTATGGTTACGTCTAGTGGAATAGAGGTCACTCGAACTTAGATGATAATTAACAAAATTAATAATACCACAAACATAGGCTATGGGGTGTTATAAGTCCCAAGATAAAATTAGCAATTATCAGTGTTATACAGTTTTTACGAACTTGAACCTGTAACAAATACTTTTTATAGTTAACATTTAAATGTTAAATATTGTACATTAATCAAATCCCTTTAAGGGATAAGTCCGCCTGTGTACATTTTTGTTATAACCTAATACCTATATTACAATCAGTACAAAAGCATATAAATAAATAAAGAAAATGTTACCAATATCTGATGTAAATAATATAAAGCGAACAAAATACTTTACAGGTATGTATTGAAAGCATTATTATTTCTTGTATTGTATTTATATAATAAAGTTTAATTCACATAACAATTATGGGCATATTAAAAAAAGAACAAACGGATTACGACGAGAAGCCAACTTACCTAATTTTACAGACACTTGAATTTAGCGAAAGAGCATGTAATCAAAAATCAAGCGGAATAGTTTAGATTACATCTAATAATATTTGTTTAACGATTTCTCGTTCATCGTGCCCACCCCGGATTCAAGCAAAGCTTTTAGTTATGCGCAAAGACATCAAAGAATACGCCGATTTTTTTTAAGAAGTCGTGCCCTCCTAGTGTATAATCTTAAATACGTTAATGCCAATGAATTATCTACATAAATTTTAATAAGTGCTTATATAAAAACAAAAATACAATTACATTCATTTATCACATTTTACACACTCACTAATGAGCGCCATCTAACGAAATATTTATACAACAAAGCTAACAAAGCTAAAGAGCACACATTATTAACTTTTTGCTATATAATAAATTGATCAGATACTAGACAGATGGCGTTAGCTGCCATAAAATCAATTTATATGCTAGAGCTAAATATAAATTATACATAAAATGGTTATATAACTATCAACTATTGACGTCAGTCAGTAATAAATAAATTAACTATATTTTAACTATATAACTTGTCTACTTAACATAATTGTATACATTTACACTGACTAAATGAAGTACTTAATATTAAAATATAAATAGGATAGAAAATATGTAAATAAACATTATAGTTACATACCTAATACCTATTCAAAGAACACATACCTTTATTTATAAAGTTGCATTCAACAATTTTTGATAATTAATTACTTGCTTGGGAGGAATAAAAAAATATCAGACTTGTTAAAATAGTGTTTCTACTAAACCATAAATTAATATTTGCCATGTAACAATATTATATATTTATATATTGCTTTAGTTAGGTGTTATAAATATTATATTTACTAATATAGTAAATGTGAAAATGATTCACTTGTTACCTCTGAACACCTTCATGGTTCAACCAATGAACAGGAAATTTGGTGTATACTCAGTGCAAAATAATATAAAAAAACATAAAGTAGAAATTCAATGAGGAACCTTATAGCTAAAAGAGATCTCTACTCTATTGATTGTACAAAAATCCATGTGCTTAGGTAATATTTTTAAGTAATATACTGTGGAATTATTTATTATTGTGAATAAAGAAAAAAAATATGCTACTATTCATTTTTGTCAAGTGAATGAAGTTACAGGAATAGCTAATATCAAATAACTTTAAAGAATATATTTTTGCACATTTATGGGCAACTGGAATTAAATTAAATTACTGTGACTGTTGTTTCCAACAACTGTTTGTTGAAATGAATGGGAAGCAGAACATACTTTTGCCTTGGAAATGGAGTCATGACAACACTATATCAGTCAACTCTAAACTATGGCCAATGTAACCCGGTTGAATCAAAATAATTCAGGTAAATTAAATTACTTAAATTATCACATTAATTCCAGACAAATTGTTTTGCCTTCATCTAAAAATGATATTCATTGAAGTTCTATATATATATATATATATATATATATATATATATATATATATATATATATATATATATATAGATCAAGTATTAATTATTATTATTTTCACTGCAGAACATGGTCATGTTATTATTTTAAACAAATATTTACCATTTTATCTATGATTAGAGCTAAAAAAACAAGAAACTTTTGACCTTTATAATATATGCTGTGTTACATAAATTAGTGCATAATGTCTTTTGAATCTGACCTGAAACCCAACCACCCAACTGCTCAGTAAATCAAATTAGATAGATATTAGCCGAGACTAAGCTATGAGATTGCGAACACTTGTATTCACATATAATAATAAAATTAATAATGAGATAATTAAGATCCATATATACAAAGTCACAAGATACTACTACTGTTACTCTTGTTACAAAAAATTTTTGCACAGTCATGAAAAAGTTCTAAACAAGAAAAATGTAGATACACTTCATATAATAATAGGACTGCTGTAGTTAATCTCATAATACATATATTGATCTAGAAAAAATAAACAACAGGTGGTTTATTTAGTGGTAAAATGAAATTTATTTCTATTCACATATTTTTATCTATACTACATTGCTTCCTTATTGAGTTGGTGGCATAAATACTATGTTGTAACATAATACTGACCTAGACTGTATGCTATCTCATTTAAATTATTTAAAATCTTTCTTATATTAAGATTATATAAGAGCTACTTTTGCTTGAAGTTATATTTTCAAATTGGGTTATTATATTTGTAAGATTATAATGTTATCACTATCTATATGGAACATGATTTTGTTGGTTAGTTAAGTACAGACGTCCTTCAATACTAATGACAATAACAAACAATTATTTTAATATTCTCAATCAGAATATGGAACAGTATTAAGGTCAATCACTTTGTGTAATAATTATTAAGGATAAAGATGATGAAATCCTTCATCTTATTGTGCAATAAGATCTCAGAAAGAAATTATAGTCAGTGACTAGAGAAAATGGTGTCAGGATTAAAATAGATCAAGAAGTTTTCATTTGATATTTATCAACATTGCAAAATTTTTATCGTCATAAAACGAATCAAACGCTTATTAGTATGTTAAACATAGTAATTTATAAAACAAGCTTCTTAAAACTTAATATATATGCTAATAGAAACCAGAAAAGTATTCAAAACAAAGAAAAATTGAAACTTACATTTTGTGATTCCTCCTCCAAAACAGCCATCGTCTCAAAGTCTATATTCATTTTCTCACTCTTACGCTTCCGTTTTGTCTCTCGAAGACTAATGATGATTTTATTAAATACAAATAACAAGAAAATCTGATAATTTGTATTGCACCTGTATTGTACACTTTAAGGTATTGTTTACAAACTGGCAAGGTCATTTGACATATTTTGGTTTGATAAATAAATCGAGCAATAAGGTGCGTTCACATCATAGAATTCTATTCTTCTTATTTTATTATACATACTCTACAATCGAGTTTTTTAGATAAAATTGTGGATGCACCCACAAAGTAAATTAAACATAGATACTGGAGTCATTTTTTTTGCAGTACATATCTTCATGAGCATTTAGTATCGTGCTATAAATAAAATTTCAATGTGATATAACAGCGAAATCTTTATTTTAAGATCCAGTGTGAACTGAATTTTTATAGATTTAAGTAAAAGTCATTATAAATAAAAAAAAGCTAATGATCGTCCACAAAACAGTAACTTTAGGAAATTTAACAATTAAAATATTAGATTCATTGTGGTTTAGAGAATCGGCTGTAATCTCATGTTTTTTTTTTTTTTTTTACAACACAGGGGGCAAACGTGCATGCGGCTCACCTGATGGTAAGTGACTACCGCCGCCCATGGTCACCCACAACACCTACGGCATTGCAGGTGTGCTGCCGGCCTTTTAAAAAGGAATATGCTCTTTTCTTGAAGGTTATGTTGTCGTATCGGTTCGGAAATACTGCTGCTGGAAGTTGATTCCAAAGAGTGGTTGTGCGTGGAAGAAAGTGCCTTGAAAAACGCACGGTGGAGGACCACCACTCGTCCAGATGGTTAGGATGAAATTTTAATTTATGGCGGGTTGTTCATGTTTTATATAAGGTAAATTATGAAGGGCAGTCTTAAAAAAATTATCCTTAATCTATGATAAAAGTGGTGAAAATTAACCCATAGACATATTATATTGAATTTATTATTATGTCTATAAATTAACTTCAAACGTACAAAGATAATAATGTTTAAACGATTTTATTAAATTTTACAGAGATAAATTATAAAAAAATATCATTTAATTGGTATTCATCATATAATTCTGTTTGTTATACTATAAAATTTTCTAAAATAATGATGTAAGATGTAATTTTCTGTTGATTCATGCACAAAATATTTGTTATGGTTCTAAATATTGTATTTAAATAAATGAAATGTTTCAAGCATATTTATTCGTTAAACATGAACATATATTTTCTCTGTTATGTATATAACATTCAGGTAAAGCACATTTACTTATAACTACATTCATTTAAACTAATTCGTATAAATACGTAAAAATAATTAGAAGTTATTTTGTTCATACTCGTGCCGAAACAGTTGTACAAATTATTATTCTATCTTTTCTCTCGTTGTAATATACAGGTTATTATATTTTCTATCTCATGCATTGCCCATCTATATACTTTATAATCTAAAATAAATAGTATGGAAAAATACCATGATATTACATCTATTGTGCAAGGTTACCAGCAGTAGGTATGTCATGTAAATCTTTAAGTTTTCTGTGATTATGCCTCAGATCTAAATAAGGCTCTTTTCTTGCATCATAGATTAAGCGTAGTACCTGCGTTTTACTTCTACACTAGCTATAGACAACCGATGTCATGACAAATGACATGACAACTGTCAATGATATGCTAAGTATGACGTCTTGTATATGTTGCTATAATAAAAATGCAACGTCAAAATTTTTCGACTTCGGACCTCGCTAGATTTTTCTTTCTGTGATAAAAATCAGTACCTACATAGTTTATGTTTTTTCTCGAGTCTGCGATGTGGCCTTAAAACGAACACCCCTTGAGTAGTTTAATAATCTAGAATGTGTATTGTGTGTCTCCTAGAAATAGTAGTGTCGTATTATCGTGTGTGCTTAGTGCGTTAATGTCATTGGGAGATCACGATGCGTATCGGTGTTGTGTTTTATTGGTGCGTGTTAGCTCTTCATCTTTGTAAAGCGGATGATGTTGAGAGGACAGAGTCTAGAGAAAGTGGAAGAAGACAACAGTATAGCCCTGTTGGGAGGAGCAACTCATTCGTGAGCGACTCGACGGTGGCAATTGCGAACGAACAAAGTAAGTCTTGAACTTGATAATCTTTGCGCGGTCCCATGACACCTGTTTGCATCCTTCACTTGTATCAATTTTAATTACTAGTCTATTTATAACAGACTTCGGTAATACCATATTTGTATACGGAGTGTCTCCATAGTATATTTATTAGGCGGTTTTTTAGTATTATTAATTTCAAGTTGGTATTTTATTCAAGCTCTGCAAAATTTTACATCTGTTTACACATTCCAGTTTTAATTTAGCATTTAGACATAACATTTTTATTTTGTTATGCTCTATTTTTGTCTAAGTAAGTTCTGCTTTCATTAAATTTTTCAACCAGTATTTCAAACTTAAGATTTATATGGAATAATGGTAATGACTGTATGACCTGTCAAAATTTCAAATTTATTAAATATTATATTAAATATTAAATTTATATTATAATAATTGTAATGGTTCTGTTGGGGTGAAATAAAATGTTAATTATCTAATAAGATTCTTATTAAACTCTCATAGATTTTTAATTTTATTCAAGTTATTTGAAAATAAAATACTATATTGAAAATGTTATATACAGAAATTGTTGTGATTTTTTAAATTTTATACTTTCCTGCATAAATTAAATTTCATTATTATAAAATGAATACAAAAAATGATACTGGTTTAATATATACATAATAGAAAAATACTTGTATTTTGTATTCAGAAATATGTCTAATCCCATTTGAAAAATAATAGACTGCAACCATTGCCTGTTTTTTGGTTTAAACACTTGACACCTTTTATATGTAACATGATAGATGGTCATCAAAATAATTTAAATTAGATATAGTTTTTGTGAACAAATATCTAAATAATTTGGGTGAAATCTAATGTTATATATACTAGAAATGCAAAATATCTTTATTTTTCTACTGTTTAAATTATTTTATTCAGAAAACAATTAGAACTAAAAAAAACTGTCTTGACACTTAGCTTCTGTTGTATTTGTAGAAAAATAGAAAAGTGAAAATGACTAGCATTAAAATCATAAAAATATAATTCAAGTCAAAATCATACATATACAGTTAGATTATGCTATAAATAGCAGTAATATGTTTAGATTGTATAGGCCAATGGGTTCTCATATATCATACGAGGTCTGTCCGGAAAGTTCGTATAAAAGTGTTCTGGAATGCGAGAAAGAGGAGTGGGGAGGCCAGGTAAGCGCAGGACCCCTTCCTTATGTCCCTAACAATGCTTCAGTTCTGGTCTGACCGCCGTGCGGTGCGAACTGGCTTGTCACGCCATCTGTGAAGTTACCTCTTAACGAAACCCCGTCGGCATGGAGCCCGCTTCCGTTGAAGAGCAGCGCGTCGTAATCAAGTTTCTCTCGAAACTCGGCAAGAATGGCCGTGAAATTTTTGCCGATCTCAGAACAGTTTATGGGGATGATGCTGTGAAGGAACCAACCGTCCACAAGTGGCTAAAAAGATTCAGAGAGGGCCGAGAAAGAGTTCGATGTTCGGGGGATTGTCCATCAAGAATTCGTCCCTCCAGGCCAGACAGTTGATGGAAAATTCTACGTCGATGTGCTCAGACGCCTCAAAGCTCGTGTGGCACGAGTTCGTCCAGAATTGGCGCGAGAGGGGCGTTGGATTCTTCACCACGACAATGCCCCTGCCCACACCTCTCTTGTTGTCCGTGAGTTTTTGAGTAAAAATTCCATTACGGTGACCGAACACCCCCCCTATTCGCCGGATTTGGCCCCGTGTGACTTCTTCTTGTTCCCAAAAACCAAATTGGTACTTCGGGGGCGGCATTTGGGGGACATAAATGAGATAAAAAAAGCTACGACGGGGCAGCTGAGAAACCTACAACCAGAGGACTTTCAAGGAGCCTTCTCACAGTGGAAACGGCGTTGGCACAAGTGCATTATGTCACAGGGGGAGTACTTTGAAGGGGATAAAATTGATTTACCTGAATAATTGTAAAATAAAATTTTTAAAAAACTTTTATACGTACTTTCCGGACAAACCTCATATATTATTTTAATTATACTATAAAAGGACTTTATTGAAAAAAAATGGGCTCTACATTATACTTATTTTTTTTTTTATTATAAAATATGTTATATATTAATCTTAAAATCACATATTTATTAGATAGGTATGTGATTGTTAAGATAATTGACAATAACTATAAATGAATTATGAAATACTTGATTTATTAAATGCTACCTTTTATTAATGATCATTTTATGTTCACTGACCATGGTAATAATTAGCCTATGTCCTTCATTCTTTATAGTATGTGTTATTCAAAATTTTATAGTGATTGGTAAAGCCATTAAAGCACTAAGGGATAACAAATAAACATACTCACTTTCATATTTTAGTAAGGATCTACTGAAAATACTTAATACTGTTATTGTGCTCAATGAATGTGAGTAATAATAGAATATTAAAATTTGACAAGTTATTTATTTATTTAATTGTGTCTTTTTATTTTATTTTTATGTTAATATCTTTATCATAGATTCTGATGGAACTCGACTGCAAAGTTTCCCTGTCCTTATTACTATGAATGTATAGTCTTCTTAATCATTTAAATTATTCTACATTGTAAACTACACACTATCTCGTTTGTATCAAAGCTGAATTTGAAACAATGCTTTGAGATGTTTGTGCCACCAGATGTTCATAGCTGTAACATAAATGTTGCTTTTATTGGAACATAATGATTAATCTTCTGTTAAAAGTGGTTTACTGAATGTTACCATATGTTTATATCAGATACTATGAGAAATAATATATTGATATTATTATTATAATCATTTGTTGATATGTGATTATGTATTAAATAATTAAACCATTTCATAATTTCAAACCTAATTAAATAGACATAAAATAGTATTAAGATTATGACAGTCATCTATTTATTTCAATAAAAGAAAGAAAAAGCTTTCTTTTTTCTTCAAATTTTAATTATTTTGTAAATTTACTGGAGATTTTGTAATTCATATAGAATAAAAATTCTATTTACTTTTATTATTACTGACATATTTAACCAAGAAAAAAATATGCAATAGACAGCTAACCTGACAGCTCTCTTGCATTAAATAATATTCTAGTCCTCTATTTATTATACAAAGATAAGATAAAAAACTATTCCTTTTTTTTTTTAATTATTTCTAGACTGTTGTTTTTCTAGATACAGTTTAATATATCCTTGTAAATATATACTTAAATATGATGTGAATTTGTTTGTTGGCTACTATTTAACTTTCTTCTAGACCACTTAAATGAGGTTAAATATTTGTCAATTTTTTCATGCTTTTCCATTACTGTTGTTGACTAAATTTAATGCTACTGATTTACTAGCACCACATTGATTTTTATAATTATTCCTGTTAATTAAAATGTAGGACAATTACTTTACATTATTTGGGACATGATGAATTGACCTATGAATTCAAAATAATAATGACGATAAATATAAAATACAAATATAGAAATTACTGGTTAAGGAATAGATCTAGTTACATAATTTATATATTCAGTACATTTGAACAGTCATCTGTTTGCTTATCTGATTTACACACACTTATAATGGACTGTGGGTTTATATTTAGCATTACTTTGAAAGTACAAACATTTAAACATAGGTTTGTCTGCATGAATGTTATATGTTTGATTATGGAAATTCTGCTTGAGATGTAATTTAATAATGCAGAAGATATATGCATTAAAAACCTTTTTAGTTCTTGATTCCCTTTCTCACTATTTTCCCTGTAAGGTCTCTTTTGTTTATATAACTTACTGTTTCCTGTTGCTTCACTTGCCTGAATCCATTATGCCCTGTTTTCAAGTGAATTGCAGTAATTTCTTAATAACTTCACTTATGTACTATATTTATATATAAATAAGTAAGTTGATAAGTGTATTACTTGAGAACCAGTGGAAAAATAAATCAGAATATGGATAAGATAATCCCTGTTGTTTTTTTTTAATGGATGATAATCGAATGGTAACCCCACCTCTGATAATGGTACATGCTAGCAAGACATCAGTGAGGGTGATAGTTATGAATGAAAATCAGGTCAGTTAACTCATCATGATGAATGCACAGGGTACAAAGCAATGGTTTCCAGGGAGGACCGCAGGAAGGTCTACCTGACAGGGTGGGTGTATTGCTAGAAATGGGGCTACTAATCCTTATTATTAACAATCTCTTCTGCTCCCAGATAATGTCTTTTACGTATAGATATTTAAACTAACCAATTTCATCTGTTATATATTCCATAGCATCCACTGCGTTATATTACTTTAAATATTAGGATCTTCTTTGCAAAATGTTATATCAGACTCACTAGCAGTGACTATATGTCGATCTACCTGTTCCTTCTTTTATAATTAGCGTGCGCCTGCCATGTTGTATGCGTGATCCAGGCATAAATTGATTAATTCTTAGTACAGGGATAAAAGTAGTCTATGTTACTGCCAAATTTATAATGATGGTTTTTATGGCATCAATAAATTAAAAAAAATTACTTTAATGATATTATGGGCGATCCCATGTAGGTTCCAATCTAAAGATACCTTTTATATGTAGATTTCAATGTTAAACAAAACTGGCTTTGATGTTTACCGATCGCGTAATTAAACATTGAGTTAGCATAGGAGCCTGGCCATTGTATTATATGAGTATATATACATGCAATGCTTGGATTTTATATTTAAGAAGGTAAATTGGATAAACGCAAATTCGTTTGCGTACTTTAATAACGAATGGTCATATAGGTTACGAGAACGAAATATTATTATATGTAATATATATTTTTAAATATATAAAAATATTGTTTATTGCCTTTGGTTTTAAAATTTGCATTTTATTTGAACTGTAAGTATTTCGTAAACAACATTTCATCTCCAGAGTGCAGTGACACTAAGTCTACATTTACCACAGTGTATTTTTAATATTTTTAGTCTCTAATGCGAAAAGTGAGATGACAAGAATGATATACAATGTGGATGCCTAATTGGTCAATAATAGAATAAACAATTAAGTACTAATACTGCATTCTACCCCCAAAGAAAACAATGCGTTTAATATAAAAAGCATCCTAAGACGGCATGTTTAGATAAATAAATCTATAACATTTTAAAAAATAGATTGGATTTAGTAATTGATTGCCGGACTATTTTCGGACTAGATCAGACTAGATAAGTTTTTATTAAAGAGCACGCTTCGAGAGCATGCCACAATTCCTAATCAAGAGTATCATCGGTCAGACAGTTTCCATTGTTTAAATATTTGAGAAGTAGTTGAAACATTTGACAACTGGTAATTGCATTGTGTAACTTGGAACAAACTCGGTCTATGTAACTGAGAGATGCTGGTATAAATTCCATCGAATTGAGTACAAGACGTTTAATCGAATATGTATTGTGTAGAGATCGAACCCGTGACCAATGGTAGTTGAGGTGGTGTGTAAAATCTCGACAATACCAACATCAATGTATGTAATCTTTTTAACTTCTTTATTCTTTAATGGTGAAGGATATTGGTATACTTATTCTCTTTATGCGCCCTACATACTTAGTAAGTATGTATGATTTAAGAGGGGGGATAGCTGATATATTACCATAGTAGACACATGTTTTATACAATTAGGCGATCCGTGATTCGTGTCAAGGATAATAAAAGTGTCCCTCCAATAAACTACCATAAGAGTCGGAGTACAAACCTACTGCTCCTCTACAACGTCGTTTCATCTATTAAGGGGTTTCCCTACTCTGTGTCTGGCAGGGGGAAGAAGGGATTGTTAGTATGTACCGTTAGCGCAGGCGGGGTGACCATTCCATTAGCATCCATTAAAATAAAAAAACTGTGTGTATTGCAAATGCAATTTAAAAAATCTGGTACCTAAGATTGGTGCATCATTAACACAATTTCGATCCGACATTTCGATAACGTTCTATTTGTTGTATTTCGATGATTTTTTTTCTGTTTAAAAATAGTTTTTTTTTTTTTGCAATTACTTACATACATTTTTAATTCTTTGAACCTCGAATCCAACGTTTATGTCTTAGGGGGTTGATTTTATATATATATATTAAACATACAAACAACTTAAGCGCTGATCATTCCGTTTTGATAGTATTATTCCGGAATAAAAAAAACTACTATGTGCATTATAAGAAGCACATTGCAATTTCAAATACAATCCGCAAAGTCTCATTCATGATTCTGCCATCAATACATATGTATTTGCACGGTTGTGTTTTGGTTTTAAGTGAGATATAGCTGTGAAATTATTAGGTACGGATGCATAGCGTCTTAGTCTTGAGAAAAGGTAATGCATGACTGTCATCATGGGCGTCAGAGTATATTCTATGATGGTAACTACTGTGGTAAGATAATACGGGTAATGAGGGTACGTAACATTCTAAAGTATTTAAAACGGCCCGACGTATCAACCAAACGTAATTAATGAGGTATTTTGCTATAGACGTCTGATTTATCCCAATGTCTGTGTTGAGAAACAGCTGTATCACATAAATACTGTAAATAGCCCTTAGTGGTATAGTAATAAGGTTAAAAATATTGAGTACAATGTTTTGTCATTCTATATCCGTGATTTGAGTTCGGCAAACGTAATGAGTCATCAGATCATGCTTGTATCAATGACTGGCAAACTATCACGGCTAGTAACATTTTATTTTAAAACTAGTTTTTACCTGCGACTTCGTACACTTGTAGGTTTTGCATGGTGCGAGATCAAACATACAGTCAGCCATAAAAATAATATGAAAAAATATGTCCTATGCGCATGTTATCTATAAAACTATTCTAACTATAGAAACGTAATTGCCGTGAGGTTCCAGCATAGGAATAGGCTACTCCTTCCTTTCCCGTGTGTATCATAAGAGCCGACTAAGGGAGGACTAGGGATGGGCACAACATTTAATAGGACGCCTCTTCTAGTACTAGTCCTTATATCTATAAAAACTAGTAAATGTGGCTTGGTCGGCTTCGTTCCTTTTTAATCTACTTTAAAAAGGATAGGGTTTGCAAATTTTTTATGTATTATCGGGTATAGCGATATCTACGCCAATTCTTAACTAAATTTCTCGATTCGTTTTTTATCGAAATAGTTTAATTTCCGTGTTAATCCCATACTAATTTTGTCAAGGCTAAAGTCATTTAATGTTTAACAATTATTAATAATAAAATATTTTGTAGGTATGTTCTATAATTGCATAAGTTTTTTTTTATAGCACGACATGTGACCACACCATTCCTCAGCGAACACAGAGATAATATGGTCCATGAATAGAATCAAACGAAAAGAGAATAATTTACTCTCTACGGTTGACCTCATTATGTCGGCTCACTAAGTGCTTTTTCACGCTACGTTAGGAGGATTCGAGGTTATAGGGTGAAGGAAACGTGTCTCAGGAAAGGCCATTTCTCATTGTCACAGTACGGTTCACGTAAGAATTGGCAAACTTACCATGTATGGATGTAGTCGCTGGTCCATCCTCGCAGTGCGATATCGGAAATGGGAAGGTGGAATTTAGTTCTGAGCATTCCTCATGGAATAGGCGGTTGAAGACATTGAAGGAGGCTGCATTTATACGTAACTAGCGGCCCGGTACGTGCTTCGCTACGTATAAAGTGAAATAATAAAAAAAACATTTATTCAAACAAAAAAATATTTTATTAATTGCTAGCTATTTTAATTACTGTCAACACTGAAAAAAAATTCAATTTGACAGTACAATCCCCATCTTAAAAAAAGTTTGAATTTGACACAAAAATCCCCTTTAACAAAATGCCTCTGATGGTAAACGGTCGCTGTTACATATGGACGCCTGCAACACTAGGGGTATCACGTGCGTGTTGCTGACCCTGAAGAAATCTTAATACACCGTTTTTGAAGAATTTAATAATGTATTAAAGTCTTTATTTTAGTTTTTGTTTTTATTTTAGTAGTAAAAAGTGCTTCTTTTTGTAAAATTACAGACAATTCAGAAATAGTCAAGTTTCTGTGTTATGTCTCTCTCTTAAAAAAATTATCGTATAATGTCGACATTAATATCGAGACATTATAGATTTATGATTCAACATCTTTACTAATGTTAGCCAAATGACTAACTAATGACTGCCTATTTTTATTTTTAAAATAACATAAAATTTACATGAAAATGTTTTGCTGGAAGAAATCTCTTATTAGAGATAAGCTCGCCTTTGTACATTATGTTTCAAATTAATTGTGGTTGACATTATTTTTTGTGTACAATAAAGAATAAAGAATGTTATAAATGTGAAATTGAGTTTTTTTGTTTGTTATCTTATAGCGCCTTGACGGCTTAAACAATCACTATGAAATTTAGAATTATACTCTTTGTATGTTTGTTGATTGGATAAGGGTATGGGCAACTTTTTATTTCGGTCAGCAACAAAGTCACGCGATCGAAGTCGCTAGTAGAAGCTAATATATAAAGACCTGAAGTAGACTTTAGACAATAAAAAACTGTATGCCTTTCAGTGCATATGTGTATGGTGAAAGGAATATTAATACTTAAAGTCAAACATGTCTGTCTGCATGTGTATTGTCTGTTTCTTTACATTTGACATATCTAGAAAACAAAACAGGCAAAAAGTAATATACAATATTAACGTTCAATATACAGACATTGCAAGTCTGTTGGCAGATAATGCAAACAGACTTGCAATGTTTGCATTATCTGCCAATATTTTTAAACAGTTATCAATATTTGTTATGATTGTTTAAAAATTGGTCGAACAAAGTAAAATGTGGATCATTAAGATCTATACTAAACTATCACAGAAGTTTTGTAGCAATTTTGATAATAAAAATGTGTTTGTAAACTTGTTAAGCAAAATATGTATAGGTAGTTTGAGAATTTTTATGTGCAAGTTCTTTGATCACCCTTATTCCTTATTTATAAAATATACCTTATATTTATATTTTATTTTTTGTCAGTTTTTCAAATGCATTTTAAGAATTCTAGTAGACCTAGTAGATCAATTAAGAGCTTGCATTAAATTGATTTACTAGAGACTCTTAGTCGATTGAATTTCGATAAAACAACCGAACTGTATTACTTTCAAATTGACGTGCTTTTAATCTTGTAATTGGTTCTTTTCTGATACATGTATTAAAATTATTTATATTTACTGTATTATCAGCTGCAAACTCGTCCACGTGAATGGGATATGTCCTTCTTCGTCCCAAATACTTTCTTACTTACGTACCATCTTGTTTCCCATTCTAAGTTGCATAAAAAAAAAAAATTCATGACTATTGGTAGAGCTGTTAAAATGCCAAGAGGAAACAAATTCTTACCTCTAATATTAGTAAGGACAATTTAATAAACTCTTTAGCGCACATAAAGTTGATGTATACATATTACATAGTATATGGTATCAGCCGTTGCCATGTGGTCCCAGCATAGAATGGGCCACCTCTTCCTTTCACGTGTGTGTCGTAAGTGGTGACTAAGGAAATTTAATGGTTGCCAAGTGTATCAACTACTGGCAAACTATCTAAAGATAGTAGTTTATAGACTACTGTTGACAATAGGGAAGACCTTTTTTTTTTAATGGATGATGAATGGAATGGAAACCCCGCCTGCGCTATCGGTATACGCTGGCGGGGCACCAGTGAGGGGCGATAGGTAAATAATGAAAAAAGGCAGGTCAGTCAGCCCATCGTGATGAATACACATGGAACTCAACACGATGGTTTCCAGGGGGAACCGCGTGACCTGACAGGTTATATTGCTAGCAATGGGACTGGTAGCCCGCATTACTAACGACCCCTTCCCCCCAGGGGAGGCCTATTGTCAACAGTAGTCTATAAACGGCTGATATGATGATATAATATATAAGGCTATTATACTTTCAGACAAGAAATTTAACATTCAAATACTCGGTATGAATATTAAATTATATATTGTTTCAAAGATTCTTGTATTATTTGCAGTGATGAAAGCGACGCTCCACGGGCACAACAAAAGTAGGTAACATCGAAATTGATATTTTTGCCGAGTAGGTATTGTGTATTTTTCTTTTTTTTTTTGGCTGATTATCCTAGCATGCGCTGAACTCAAAGTATTCGCTATGTACTTATGAGTATGTTGCAAGATTGCAAGTTTATTTACACTTAGTTTATGTATAAATATATTTGCTGTTTAATTACAAATCCCATACATATATATTATTTTGTAATATATTCCTGAACGCTGAAGCCCGGTACTGCTTTACGCAGATACAATTTGTGTGTTATCCAATGCGTGTGCGTGTTTTTCTTCATTATTATAATGTACTATAGTTCAAATTCGTCAAAACACAGTTTTTAATTAGTTATCATTGTTATATTTTTTTTTCTTCTAATTCATTAATTGATAACCGGAATTAGTTATGTAGAAAATGGCCATCTCTTTATGAACTTCTCAACGAATGTGACTGTTTTCTGCATAATATTTTTTGTTTTGTTTTTGCTAACTTTTCTATTGTAATATTTTACATTAAAGAGTTTTAGTCTATAATATCCATCTGTAGTTATGTATCTATTTATAGCTTTCTATCTATTTGTATGAAAATTTAGATTTTACACGTTAAATAAACATCGATTATGCATTGAATAAACATTATTTATGACTTATAGAGACTTTTTGTAAAGTTTATTATCCACATTTCAGTATCAAATCCTATGCCTTATACAAATTATGCAGTGTGCATAGTGTTTTTGTAATTTATAATTTTATATATAGTACCTGTATACTTTGTTTTATATATGTTAACATATAAAAAAAGTCAGCTTACTCTAATAGCCAAGTTAAAAAGTCTAGTGATTGACAAAACAAGGAAGAAAAATGTTTGTTTACATACGTGGCTATATAGACAAAACCGTAAACGGTTTTTGGCACGTTGCACCGATCACTAAATTAATTCCTTGGCAAAATTAGCACTGACGAACGACTGCCGTCATGTCGAAATAATACACAATTATTATAAAGTGTACGATAAGGAATTAAGTATTATTCTATTGTGGTGTTATAAATTAGATGGATGAAGTAATAAAATAATAATTGACTCTTCATCTTCATGTCTCAAAGTCACAAGTAACACTTTATGTTACCACTTGTGAGGATTAGCAACATATTCTATGATATCCATTGCTATTTATGTCTATAGGTGACGGTCACCACTTTCCATCAGATGGGTCGTTAGCTTATTTGCATTCTAAGTGTCATAAAAAAATTACAGGAAAAAAGTACTTAAATGTAACTCTTGAATTCAACAAAACGTTTGATCGTGAGAAAGATTCAATTAAGTTTATTATATTGACCTTGACTTCGATCTTATTCAATACAGTTCTATTACAGTAAAAACTACCAAAATATTCCTGTCATTCGCACCATGCTATAATGCGTAGATTATAATTTGTGCATACGGTACGGGTAATAAAAAAACATGAGATTATTAAATAGTTAATGTTCTCATATATTTTTGCATTAAATTTTGAAAATGTATCCCTGTATTTGTTTCCTAATTTTATCAGTGCAGCATAAAAAAGCTTTATTTTTTTTTTATTTGTTAGCTTGTAAAGTGGTCTTCTAGTTAAATAGCCGGCCGTGATGATGAGGCCGGCTTAAGGTCTGTGGCGCTGTGATGATTTGAAACGAGGAGCCTAGTTCCAGCGTCGCAATGGGCAAACCTAACGGCACGTTTTAGATGTACGGATAGGTTTATAGATAGTTGTCAATATTCTAGCATAGAGATTTGCGTTGGATGATATATATATAAATTCTCTTGTTGTTCTCTAGTGGTATTGTGCCCAGATTTAGATCACTATGGTCGTATCTTTCAATTTAAATTTTCAACTAACTCTTCGGTAATGTTTTATGGGGTGAAAATGGTGTAGTAATGAAATAGCAATAATAATAGGTAAAGAACAAAATTGACCTATTTTTTTGTGTGTGATTCACTAGAAATTAACCACGATGATATCTAAATGGGGACCGCATGGAGGTCGATCTTAGAGGGTATATTGCTAGTAATAGGGTCGCTAGTTACTATTACTAATAGTTCTCACTCACCCCGCCAGTGTTAGCAAATAGTGTTCGCCGATAGCGAAGACGGAGTTTCCAATAATCCCATAAAAATATTTAAGTAAGGTAGTTTCTTTGTTTTGGTCGGAATTTGACTGACTATTATTACTTACGACATTAGGTGCGGCCCAAATGAGACCCTAACTGTGAAAAATAGAGTCTATTTTACATTTACTTTTATAATAATATTTAATAACCTATTAATTTCTAACAAAGATATGAACCTTATCTGTGAATTATGTTTTATACCTATATCACATTATGTAATGTTAACACTGTTATCTTAATTATAAAGGAGATTACTTAATTTATATTAGTAAATAAAAAAAGAATTAGATACCTAAATATCGAATGAATACACACATCAATTGCAATAAATGTAAGTCATATATCTACATAATATGTTTTAAAAAATAATAATAAACTCCTTAGTACAATATATAAATTAAATTGTATATAAATGTGTTTTTTTATGGATGATAATGGTATGGTAACTCCGCCTGAGCTATCAGTATGTGCTGTCCAGTGAGGGATGATAGGTGATAATGAAAACTGGTCAGTTAGCCAACATGACGAATCCCATGAGAATTAATTCCGATGGATCCCAGGGGTAACCACGTAGGACCTCTACGTGGTTACCCCTGGGATCCATCGGGGTACCTGATAGGGTGTATTGCTGGCAATGGGGCTGTTAGACTCCAATACTAACAATCCTTTTTTCGCCCGCTTTAACAGTTTGACGAATAGTCGTACAATTTCGCATACACATAGCTAAGTTTCATGACGTAGGTACAAAAAGGGGGGGAAAACAACATAATAGAAGCATCCATTTATTTAAGTTTCCAGATTCAGCTTATTATTCAGTCCATACTGTTTCTATATTATACTGATAATGTGGTATTTATAAGGAAATCAGTCTCGCATAATAAACATAATACCTACTTGGGATGCACGTAAGAAACAACCTTGCCATTTCTTTTGTGCGGTTGCTCGTCTAAAGTTAAAAAAAAAAGGTTAACACATTACCATTACAGTCTTCAACCAATGTTTTGCAATTGTTATAGTGCTAATACTAGTTTTATCTAACTGAACAATAGTGGATAATTATGTGATATAACAATAAGACAATGAATCTATATATACATACGTACGTGGTGTTTATATCGACCTTATATACCAGTGTGATTTAATCTGATGTTTTGATTCTACATTCTTATCTAAATTATGTTTTTCTTATTCATACATTGTTCAGTTCTTTCATTATTTATTACTGAAAATAGATTATAGTCAGCCAAAGAATCCTCCTTAGATTCTAGAAAGAGGTTTCTTTCAATCGAAGCATTTGGCGTTCCATCGCTGCTGTCTACCCTAATGGGAGACAGGCGTGACAGATATGTATGTAAGAACCCTACTAAGTTTAGTTGGTATTTACTTATTAGCATTTTTAGCAAAAATCTTTGCAACCAAATAAGTGTTTGTACTTGTGGGAACTAATTTAGTATAGATATTCTTTTATAATATAATATGTTGTGGTATCAGCCGTTAACTGTCCACAGCTGAACGTAGCCTCCCCCTTAAGGGGGCTTTTGCCAGTAGTTGCCAGTCGAGTTCGCAACTGCAGTTTGGTTTTCGTGAGGTTTTAAGAGGGACGCTGTTGCCCATCCCTCCATCATAAGCTCCCTTAGTCGCCTCTTACGACACCCACGAGAAAAAAAAGTGATGGTCTATTCTGTGCCGGGACCCACACGGCGAGCATATCTTATATAATTTATGTTTATTATATAATAATTTGAATTCAAGATCGTTTTAGTAGAAAAAAAAAAAACAGAAATTATAATGGTGTTTTTGTGTACTCGTATATTTATACCCAGGAAACGTTTTCACGATACTGTCTGATATAGTAGGCACAGTGATATATCTGCCTTAATGAAGAGCCATCTGTTTTTCGCTTTTCATTTCGACCTTTTTTTAAATGTTCGCATTGCGTCACTGTAAGTCTACGGACAAGACTAAACTATGTTTTGTTCACTAAACAATTTAAGTGTCGTTTTTAAAAAGTGCTGATAAAAATGTAGTATGTTATAGATTAATATTTGATGTTTAATTATGATTTTTTTTTTAATTAACAACGAAAAAATAGTCTCGAGTGAATAATAAACGTTGACCTACATGCCATAGGTGCCTTAATTTATATGAATACAAAACAATAATTCTATTTGAATTATAGTTGTTATAAGCATTTTAAATAGTTTTTTTTTTTTAATCTAGTTACTGCAAGTTTCAGAAAGTTGTCATTTGTTAAGAAGAGCCCGCGAGAAACTCGACAGTTACTATACAATACCTATTTGCCTGCATGTTACAGAAGTTAATTTATTGGTAACAACATCCATCAAGAAACTCATCCGAAATAGTCATCTCTAATGCTGCTTTTTGTTAATACAACTGTGTTTTTATTAATCTTTTTTTACCATGAATTTTATGTAGAAATTCGGAGGAATATAAATTTTTGGAATACGTGTATTTATAACATGGAATGGCGTTTATAAATTGAGCAAGCAAAATCTATTTTTTGCTTGTTGTCAAGCAAAAAATAGATTTTGCTTGACAACAAGCAGTATTTTGCTTTGCAAAAAATAACCACATTTCCAATATCACAAAGTTAATAGAGGATTATATCCTAACTGAAATATAGCATACTTTATATATTAAATTGAATCACGCGGGTAAAGCCGCGGGATATAGCTAGTGGTCATAATTTATAACAAGTAGCTACAGGGGGAAAGGGATCGTTAGTGATGGGGTCTAATTTCCCCATTACTACCAATACACCCTATCAGTTCGTACTCCACGTGGTTCCCTTTGGAAACTATCGTGGTTAATTCTAGTGAAATTAGTTATGATG